CTAGCTCCTGACCCGCACTTATTCTCGTATGGCCGATTGTTCTGATCGTATTATTCCTTGCCAAGATCTCATCTTTTTTATATTCAGGGTGAAACACTTGGTTTACGCGAATGGTCAGCATGGAGAAAGACGATGAAGTTAAAAAAGATGAGACACAACAAGAAGAAAACCACGATGAACATCTTGACGATGACGACAACGGCGACAACAAGGAAGGCACTGAAATCAAGCACAAACTGCCGCAAACAACTTACGTCAGGCTTCGCGGCTTGCCGTACTCGTCAAAAGAAAGCGATATCCGGGCATTTCTTGATGGTCAGTTGTTTTACACTGCAAAGTCCTGAACAGAAAATAAGAGTTTTTGTTCAGGTATTCCGGTCACTTCGATTACAATGAGTTCTTCCTACAATGGGCGCCCCAGCGGGGAATGCTATTGCGAGTTGACTTCTAAACAAGACGTACTGAAATCTCTTGACTTTCATTGCAAAGAAATGGAAGGAAGATACATTGAGAGTAAGTATATTCTAGAAACACATACCATTCCGTTCATATCACTCAGTTGATACGGAATAACTTAAGTGATGTTATATTATTAGAGGCGAGTGGCGTAGTGGTATGAGGCACCGCTAAGACCAGACCGGACGCAGGTTTGAGTCTGCCCCTGGACCAACCAAACCCTGTACCCTCCGGGGCCGGTAAATTGGTACCTGAGTAATTTGGGAGGATAAAAGCAAACCTAGTACTGTTCCCCGCAGGTTACTGTAATAGGCTCGCAAGCATTCAGTAGCCTCGTACTACGAAGTAGAATGCTTCCGGCGCATGCCGACAGAGGGTATTGAGAGCGCCGAATCCTTTATCCTTTTATATCATTCTCAACATAGTATAAGACAAAATTCGTAGAATTGAGGCGGACTCTGTTCTCAAAATGTAGCTGGAGGAGAAGTCTTCTCAGGCCTTAGACTTCTTTTTATCCGAAAGTGTTGACCTCCGGAGCTGCAGCACTTTTTTACGATTAACAAATCAGAAGTTAAAAAACCTTGTGTCGCCATCTGTTGAATCCCTTCAGTTATACATTTTTGAACATTCAAGTGAAATGTCAGCAGATCAATCAGATTTTAAAAATTTCTTCTTGGGGAACAATGTGAAAGTCGATTTTAGGCTAGATCTGACAAGGGAATGGTCAAAAATCGAAGTGATCAATCCAGACAAGCTGCATACCATTAGATGCAGCATAA